TCTTTCAAGATTGCGAATCAATTGACAAAGTGCAAAATTATGTGATAAACAATGCATAAACAAACAAAGATAATTGATAAAGTGCGAAACAGGTTAGGCGATAAATTATGCAACAGAAAGAAAAAAAAAACAATTACTAATACCATAAAGAAAAATTCTCTTTCTTATCGTCGTGTCGTAGATTCCTTTTCGCTTCGTCGTCTTCCTGTCTCGTCGCTTGCCTCTTCCCAGCGGGAAGCTTCGCTCGGATTGTGTTCTTCTAGGAGTGTGTTCGTTTGTTTTGTGTTGTTAGGTCTCGCGTTTTGGGTTTGGGTCGTTGACCCCGGTATGTGCCCGAGTGTTAGTGGGTATTATTCCTTTGGAATCGTTTCATGTTTATTCTCCTTTTGTGAGCTTTATGTTTCTTTAGTGTTTTGTCGTATCGTGAGTCTTGTGTTTTGGGTTCTAGCGTTGCTAGTGTAGGTTCTAGGCAGACTTCAGATCCGTTCTCCAGTTTATTCTCTGTTGGCTGTATTATTCAGCTAGGGGCTGTATCTTTTCACATCTATGTGATTTTATCTACAGAATTTCATATCGCTCCGAAAAAAAAAAAACTATGCGACATACAAGCGAAGATAAATGATAAAGTGTGAAACAAATTACATGATAAACAATATAATGCGACATATATGCAAAGATAATTGATAAAGTTCGAAACATATTATGCGATTAACTATGCGACAAACAAGCGAAGATAATTAATAAAATCCAAAATATTTATGCGAGAACTATGCGAGAGTGAGGAGAAGATAAGTGATTTAATGCAAAATATTTTTTGAGATAAATTACGATTTAGATAAGTTAAGATAATCGATAATGTGCGAAATAATTATGCGATACAATAAACGACATAACAGACGGAAAAAATTGATAAAGTACAAAACAAATTATGTGATAAACAATGTGACATACATACAAATAAATTGTTAAAGTGCGAAACAGATTATGCGGTAAACTATGCAATAGCCGGACGAAGATAATTGATAAAGTGCGAAATAAATTATGTGATAAAAATAAGGCAACATACATGAGAAGATAATTGATAAAGTGCGAAACATGTTATGCAAAAAACTATGTGACAGACAGACGAATATAGTTGATAAAGTATGAAATATTGTACGATATGCTACGCAACAGACAGACGAAGATAATTGATAAATTGCAAATTACTTATACGATAACTGTGTGACATACATTGAGCAAATGCGAATCCCTTATGTGATAAACTATGCGACATAATCGAATATAATTGATAAAGTACGAAATATTTATGCGATAGTTATGCGAGACCTGTGAAGATAATTGAGCAAGTGCGAATTACTTATGCAACAAACTACGCGAGAGACGATCGAAGATAATTGACAAAGTGCGACATATTTGTTGGAAAAATCAGTTGTAAAACTTGGGTTTGACCCGGGTTTGACTGAATTTTTGATGGCTAAATATTTAATTTGAGTTGAATTAAATATTGTAGAAAAATTCTACGTTCCGAGTAGATACTCGTGGTATGTTTATTTTCTCAAAACTGATTTTCGGTGAGTGAGAAATAAATTGTTAAAGTTAGCCATAAAAGGGCACGTAAAACGTTGGTTGTGGGATTTGAAGGGTCAAGAGTCACTCCCACATTGGACTCTTAAATGAGTTTAACTCTCTTTATTATAATAAAGAGAGTTGGAGAGGTTACAACAAGCACAAAGCTATGTACCAAGTGTTGGTGTTGTTTTCGGCCACACGCGCGCGCGCGCGCGGTCCTTGGGCCTTGGGCCTTAGTTCTTGGCAATTGGACTTTGGGCTGGACTTGGGCGGCCTTGGGCGCTTGGGGCTTGGGCCCAATCACTATATATCTTTTTGCTGCAAATTTATTTGCAACTTTAGGCCCAAATGAAAAATCCAATTGGATTTGGACTCGGTTTTCATGTGGAAAGTGACTGTTCAGGTGGATGTTAATGGCTGGTTAACACCTGGTTAATGGTGTAGTAACACCTGAATGATTTTACTGCCCATTATCTCTGCCTTAACTGGCAGATGTGACTTCTGGCTTCCCTCAAGATGTGGAAGTCCTATAAATAGGACTTAGAGGTGCAGAGAACATACAACATTTCATGCAATCTGATACTCTCAAAGCCTCACGCATCATATCATAGTTCTCGGTTCTCGAATTCATTCTTGTTCGACTGGACTCTGAAGGCTGGTGTGCTACAGCTTCCGAGTGTTAAAGCCGTTGTATCTTTGGGGACATTACGCACTAACCCGTAAGCACTACACGGGGCGTATTTGTCTTGCAGATAGATTTCAATCGCCTCGGCTCAAATCTCTCCGTGTTCGAGTTGTAATTTAATTTTTTGTTTTAGTTCTTTTGTACAAACTGAACATTTCAGTCAGTTCATAAGTTCCCGTTGTAAGTTCAACACTACAGTGTGTAACAATCGCAAGACAAATACTCGACACCTACTGAACTGATGGCATCCACTGGAGAAGGATAAAAAACTCAACCACCTGTCACCCCCGCTGTTCATCATCCTCAACCTGCTGTTCATGTTCCCACTGCTGAGAAGCCCGAAAAATTCAACGGGCTTGATTTCAAGAGGTGGCAACAGAAGATGCACTTCTACCAGACCACTTTGGGTTTGGTGAAGTACCTGAAAGACGACCCTCCTGTCGTGGCTGAAAATGAATCAAATGCTGAGCTGCGAGCTGCATATGATGCTTGGGGGCAAGGTGATTACCTTTGCCGGAACTATGTCCTCAACGGACTGAGTAACGAGTTGTACAATGTGTATAGCTCGGTTGGCTCTGCCAAGGAGCTTTGGGCTGCCTTGGAGAAGAAATACAAAACTGAGGATGCTAGGGCGAAGAAATTCGTCGTCGGCAAATTTCTGGAGTTCAAGGTGGTCGACACTAAGACCGTCGTGTCTCAAGTGCAAGAGTTCCAACTCATCTTGCACGACATTCATGCTGAAGGAATGTCTCTGAGCGAGTCATTCCAAGTTGCGGTTGTGATCGAGAAACTGCCGCCGGGTTGGAAAGACTTCAAGAACTACCTCAAGCACAAGATGAAGGAGATGAGTCTTGAAGATCTGGTTGTTCGTCTTCGGATTGAAGAGGACAATCGGAAGTCTTCGGGGAAGGCCCCGATGATGGAAGCTCGTGCCAACTTGCTGGAGCAAGGCAACTCGAGCAAAAGGAAGCCCCCTAACAAAGGGAAGCAGCAGCCTGCCAAAGTGTGAAAATTTATTGGAAATTGCCACAACTGTGGAAAGCCGAACCATATGGCTAAGGACTGCAAGAATCCTAAAAAGGCTGGTCTGAAGAAGGCACAACATGGTGCCCTCATTGCTGAACACGGCCCTGTGCCGAGTGAACTAACCGACATGGATATGTCGGTTGTGGTGTTTGAAGCCAATTTGGTGGATAACCCAAGGGCGTGGTACATTGATACTGGTGCCACTCGCCACGTGTGTTCCGACAAGGGGTTGTTTTCTGAACATACTCCTTCAAATGGTCGGAAGCTCCACATGGGCAACTCCTCCTCGTCTGATGTGGCTGGAGTTAGCATCGTGGTGCTGAAGCTGACTTCTGGAAAGGAGTTAAAGCTTAAGGATGTGCTGCATCTCCCAGACATCCGCAAGAATTTGGTCTCCGGATCTCTTCTTGTAGAGCATGGTTTTAAGTTAGTGTTTGAAGCTAAGAAGTTTATTCTTAGCAAGTATGGTAAATTCCTTGGTCGTGGCTATCTCGACAATGGTTTATTTAAAATGAATGTAATGGCTGTGAGCCGTGTAACCGTTTCCAATGATAATGAAAATCGTACTTCTGTTTATA